CTTACATCATGTTTCAGAGATTTTGCACACAGATCATCTGTAACATATAAATATCTATAACATATAATATAATGTTACTCTTTCCTAGGGCTATAAAAGGTAAGAGTTGAAAGGCAGCATTTTTATCTTACTTGGAAGGAGTAGTTATTGCAATTTGATACCATTGATTTTAAAACTCCTGAGATCTCCTAAAAATTTGCAATAATTAATTTGCAATACTGACATTTGGTGATGTGTTACAAAACAGTTTTGCTATTTCAAAAACAAATGAGTTTGTGCAAGTCATACTTAGCTGGGGGGTTAAAGATCTTCTGCCTACCAAGTATGCATGCAAGACAGGTTTTGCAAATAACTTTTTTTGTTTTTTTAATACTTCTGAAAGTTACTCTGCTAATAATTGGGAAGTGATCAGTTTTTTTTCCAGTAACCAAACGCCTCTGGGACTGCTGCTGCTGTTCAAAATTTTCTGTGCAACAAAAAAGTGAAACGCAAGCAATGAGAAGGCAGGCCGGGGGCACGCTGTATTACAAGTCGCTGCTGCGCGTGAGGCACTATGAAAAAGCCGCGCTGGGTGGCAGACCACGTTAAAGTTACTCAGCCAACCCGTAAGCATCAACTTGAGATTGATGCTCTAAATCCAGACAAACTATTTATTCTAATCAGTTAAGATGCAGCTCAAACAATGCAGTAAAAGACACGTTAACATAAAGACTTTATGAAAATCCTAGTCATCTAGAATAAAAGTTATGCCCGTTGTGCTCTCAGCTCTCCTGAGATTTTATTAGGCTCTGCATTTGTGAAAATAACGGTTCTTCTCACTCAGTTAGAGGTTTTCCAGTAGGTGGCTTTTTCGTTGTGTTATTTTGGTTGGTTGGTTTTTGTAAGAATCCGCATCTCAACAGTTGTGGGATTCTGTTGTGACTGCATTAGATCCTCTTCCTTCTTCTACCATTCAGCTTCCAGATAACTTCGAGCAAGCCCAAATTCCACATTGGAGCTGCTCAGTGTGGGGAAGCTCAGGAGGCTCGAGTTCTTTATGAATCCTTTTGAGATCTACTGCTTAAAAGCACTTGTCTATCTTACGTTTATCTTCATGTTTTGAAGAAGGTATTATTTTCACATACTGTACTGAGGATCAACATGACATTTACTAGCAGATTTTAAAATGTGACAATATTAGCAGGCTAAAAGTTTGTGGTGCATACAGTGGGAGTCATTTTTTTTGGTATTGATTCAAATTTGACTGTCCAAGTTGAATATCTTGCCCCTGCATCACGGCCTACTGCACCTTTGCTCATTTTATTCCATTTCTTCATAGCAAACTTTTAGAATTTCAATTCAGGAATGGAAAAACATCCTAGCCCTGGCAAGAATTCTTGTAAAATAAGGCTGTAGCACATGAACAAGGCTCTGCAGGGAAACCTGTATTGCTGCTACTCGTCCTCGGTATGCCAGAGGAATAGCAAATTTCCCTTGCTAGGGCTGAACAAACACATAAGCAGAGTTTTAGTGGAGGAAATGTTCTACACCAATAGAGCGAGAACATCATCGTAAAGGGAGAATTCAATAGCAGAACATAACGGTACAGCTAACTGCTCTTTCTCATTTTATTGAAACTTGCACTGGATGGATGCTGTCTTTCCTCCAGCTCTCAGCAGAAAATATGCTCCTGACCATGGTATCGCAAAGCGCAGTGGGAGGGGGTACATAAAGACAGAGGGACCAGCTGCGTTTTACTGCTCTGTTACAGTTAATCATCCTCCCACTTCGTCATCCTTTCATGTTAGCAGCTCACACTGACAGAACAGAGAGAGAACCTCAACAGTAAGGCAATCCAGTATTTGTTTGAATACCTAGCACAGGTTTATATGTATAAAATAAACATATGTGAGCCTACCATAGGTTTTTATATATATATATATAAAATATATATATATATATATAAAAATAAAAGAAAGGTGTGATGCTAAGCTTAGGAAATGGAATTGAGGACTGCAGCTCTACGGGCAACACAGTGTAACAGTAACCTCCCACTTCTACCTTTGGAACTCTGCGCCAAAGGCGCCATGAGCTTCTCCAGTGGTTTTTCCAGAGAGCAGGATGCCGAGTTGCTTGGCGCTCACGTATTTGGAGTTGAGCATGGTGTGCAGCAGTAAAAATGACGGTCTAAAAATAGGTAACATTGTATCTGAGGGATCTTGCTTTCTGCAGGTATTAATTTCTTACAAGATTAAAAAAAAAAAAAGGACAGATCCTGCTACCCAGCCTTGACTGATCATTCAGACTCGGAGCTCTCTTACCCGGCATTATACAGGAGGCCAAGGCTCATATTATCACGAGTCTGTTCCTGATGGAGATATGGTAATTGTATTGGTAGCTTCCCATAATCTTTTTCTGGAAACCTCAAACTACAGATGCTGAAGTTTAAATATTTCAACATTTCAACTAAAAAAAAAAAAAAATTCCTCAGATCGTTTATGCACAAGTACTTTCCTGTTTTCAAAAGTGTTATTGCATCTGTTTGCTTCTGTAATTAATCTATCAGGTAGGTAATTATTCATACACCAGGAAAACGGTTGGTTTTTTGAAAAAGATGAAGTCAGAATCTTTGGTAAGTTTTCACTTGGAGAGAAGAGGCTATCAGAGTAATATCATCTTGTACGTTACCAGTCAGTCTCTCTCACGTACTGTCTGTCTGGGGCTGTCAGGCTGTTGTAATGAAAAAGGCAATTTCACATTCAGCAGATTGTTTTTGCTATGAAAATGGGAAATTTTAAGTGAAGGACCACATTGGAATGTTTTTTTCATTTATTTTACGCTCTCAAGTGGATCTTGCACAGTTTGGCACATACGGCGCTTCGCGGGTATTTATTTCATAACACGTTTTTTTGCTGTTGTACTTCTGGGGACAACGTACGCTTCCCTGGCTGTTGGATTAGTAGGCAAACTTGTGTTTTCCCACCTGCTTTATAGTTACTAAACTACAGACTGGCAAGTATTGTTTCTGCCCTCATTCTTCCAGCTAAAATTCCATAGTGGGATGATCTGCGTTCCACTCACTTTTACATTTTTTAACATAGTAGGAAAAAGTTATTTATTAAGAGCTGTATCTATAGTAGAAAACTCTAAGTTCTTTCCAGGTAAGTTATTAGTATCCCTTTTCTTCCTAAAATATTGTTCTTCCATATGGAATAAAGGGTGGGATGGGCAGTTCAAGCTTCGAGATGATTGCCTAATAGTAAAGGAGAGCCTGAAAAAAGAAAAACCACGTACGCTCCTTGCACGCTGTTTAACTATCAGCTGTAGCAGGGCCGGACTCTGCAAACGGCTATGGAAGTAGCTGCTCTTATTACCCCAGTGTTGGCTGCCAGGGTCCTTTCCGTGCTGGTTTTGTGGTTTTCCAGCTGAAGGAAAACAAATCTTTTAAAGTTATGACGTATTTTCTCAACTGTTTCATTTTGACTCGGACCGTATGAAGCACTTTTATAAAAGAAGTCCACAGGGAGATAACTACGCTAGTTTTCACTGACGAGGTTTATCTGTATTTTAACAGTTAAACCCACTATGTTAATAAAACAAAACTTCTGAACAATAATCCTGCTCAGTTTCAGTATTTTCCCCATTCCTCATATTTTAGAAGAATGTAAGTAGATAAGAATTGTAAAGTACAGCTCCATCTTTAACAGACAATCTAAATGCCAGCTTATGAATGCCAGCTGCGTGACAAGAATAAGACCTAGTTACAAGTAACTACTGCAGTCGTTTCTCCCAAAATTTCCATTCATTTCCTGCAAAAAAATACATTTCCTGAAAAACTTCTCATGCCTGAAATGTCTAAAGCTTACTTGCAATTTAAAAAAGTCTACCGAGCTTTATTGTTCGGAGCGCAGGTCGGGCGTTCCTGCGTAGCCTCGGCCTCCCTCCCGCCCCGCCGCCAGGCTCAGCGAAGGCCCAAGGGTGAACATCCCTGCATAGCGTAAAGGGAAAGATGTGGCGGATACTTCTGTCTTCTCTCGCTCCGGGGCTTGACATGGAGCAACATCTCTTGGGGGGGGTTAATCTTTGCAAGAACTATTGAAAACAATCTAAGCGTTCTGTTGCTGACTGATTAAAAATAACGCAGCAGCGTTAAACTATACAAATACATGGATATGTCTATCTCCGTAACACTTAACAGTTTAAGAGCGTTGAATTATAAATGAGATGCCCGATTTAAGACAAACAAGTTGTCTCAGAAACGTTATCTCCTCCAATATGTTGACCTAATTTTAGGCTGCCAAGTCAGAAAGCGCGTGCATCTGCTGCTGCTGGATCTTTCCCTTCACAACTCCCAGGACAAATATGCGGGATATCTGATCAAAATCCTCACTGTGTGACAAAATCCTTACCCCGCACAGCTGTCTGTCTGCAGGGCTTCTGCTGCGTTATGTATTTAGAGAGTTAAACCATTAGGGACGAGAACAGACCAATGTTACTTCACTTTCCTAATTGAAATTCAACTATATTAAATATGAAGCCATGTTCTAGATGATATTTTTTAAAGGAATTTGTTCTACAAAGTTTAGATGATATTTCTGTACCAAACATTTAATTCAACAAAGGACTGATTACATCAAAAGTGATTGAATTTGAACAGAAAGTAAACAAAAATGCATATTCAATATAGTTTAATATGTATTTTCTGAATTAGAAATATCACTTTCTTAAATGAATGAGAACTTCTAGTGTAATGATCCATTACTCCCCTCCCCCATCACTGAATTACATTATTTATACATATAATACAGAGCCGATTGCAGTTGGAAACAACAATATTAAAATAAATGTTTAATAGATACAAAGGATCTTTTCTCCACAACATAGTTTTTCTGGTGTCTGGACACCAATTTTAAAGTAATTCTCTATTAGCATTAAACTATTTAAGTGCAAAACAATTTTGTTTTAAAAATCTATGATTGCAGCATCCATCTTCCTGAATAACATTTTGAAGCCAGAAAGTCATGACTTTCCTTTGCCATGAGTGCATTCCAGGCTGTCTGCTGGCCATCTCTGGTTAAAAAAATCAGTGCAAAATAAACAATGGTGACGTACTAGTTTACCCATTGAACTTACTTGGATTTAAGAAACATAGGTTATTTTACACTATATATATATATATATATATCTTTTATTTATATATTTATAGAGAGAGATTAAATTACACTGGACTTGAAAAGTATAAAGAAACCCAAAAATGTTGCTATTTTTTCCTGCAGCACCAAAGGAAGCTTTTTAAAATTTTTTTTTTTAAATGAAAACTCTTCCTTGGGTGAGCAGCCTAGCAGTATTAGCTGTAGTAAGAACTCATTACATTATTCCTTTGCAAAGTACTATGTGATTCACATAATTCCATGTTTACACTCTGCCACGTTATAATTTGTGATGCTCTTTGCCTGAAGAACAGCTCCTGGTTCCACTGTCATTACTTCTTGTCCTGTGTTCAGAGATTTGCTAGCAGTAGTGTGATGGCTATACTACAGTTCCACTTGGAGAATTGGCCTGGTTTTGGGATGACAATAAACCCTGCAAACAAAGCAGTTTACATTAATCCAGCAAGAGAACCTGACAGTAATTTTATAAAGTTCTTAGCCTGAAGCTAAAATGAATACAATTTGTTTTTACCATCGCTCGCGTACTTTAGGCATCAGCACCTGCTTTCCTACCAAAGAATCGAAGGCCCACTGCACCAGCCGAGCAGCGCACAAAGAGCCTTCAGTAAGTAAGTAAGCAAGCGCGTGCGTTTGTGGCACGCGATGAATCCGATCCCAGCATCTGATTTAATCTACCTTGCGTTTTGAGTCATTGTGAACTGTGAAACTTTAAAAATCGTACGCCAAAAAAGTGATCAGCATTTTATTAGGGTAGCAACAAACCAACCTATTCCAATATTAACAAGTTTGACACCTAACCTGATACAGGGAAACGCTCAATCTCTCATATGCTATTGAATATTACAAGCTTCGAATAGAAAAATAGATTATCTAACCAGATATTTATTTGGTAATTTTAAAAGAGAATGAAACACTGCGCGAGAGTTCAGTAAAGATTTCCCATTACAATTTAAGCTTGCATTCAGGAAAACTTGTTCACCAGCTCCTTTAACTACATCGCCGCCATTCAAATCAAACGAGACTTACTTCGTTTCGGCCGTGATCCCGCGACTGCGCGGCACCCCCGGCTGGCCAGAGGCTACTGTTCCGGATCAGGGCAGCGATACCTTACAGACAGACCGCAGTGGGCACATGCCATTTCAGATTTAGGTATAGTAGCCCCTTTTTAATCATTCACATAAAAGTAACTCTATACATGAGTGACTTAGGAAAAGCTTAATATCAAAATACTACGTAGTCGTCTTGCAAGGTCTTTATTTAGTTACAAGTAGTGCCAGCAGGCTGGGGAGCACAGCGGCAGCTCAGCTGGAAGCCCACCAGTGAGCATCACGGTGCAACGCCTTACTACGTAGGCATGATAAACGCACTTTGAGCAACTCCTCCGAACAGCTACCAGCTTAGGTTCTTACCTCAAAATTAAGATCCTGTGACTCAGATCCATCAAACTAGACAGGCTCAGGCAGCAATTAGCACACAATGTAGGATTAGGTCCCACCTCCAGAATCTACAGGAGCTCTTTCTTGCTCGGATCCACGCACGGAAAGGTCGTGACTGACGGACGAAACCCCCGACCACAGACAGAAGAGGTGGAAGGAGGGCTGCGCTGCCTGGATTCAAGGCATCAAGTTTCTACTAAAATCACAGCCCTTCCTTTTAAAAAACATCTAATCTACCAGTTCAGACACATTAGGAATCCAGATACATCTGTAGGATTTCTGGCAGCCAGTGTGCACGCATGCGCCTGTGTATACACACGTGCACGCATTTTATATTACATTTATATATCATAAATTATGTGGCGCTTAATTTGGTGCCTCCGCAGGAACGAGAACACTTTCTTTTCACTTGTTCGTGTAGTGGACATCTGATTCAAACGCTGTTGAGGTAGACTGAAGTGGGCTGGTCTTTAATCTTGGACATTCAGGATGTGCAAAGATACTGCATATTTCAGGAGAAGAGAACAAAAGTTTCCTAGTTATTAGTTAAGGAATAGATGGTGAAAAAGGGCAGAATTTTAGAGCAAGCAACTGAAGCACTTCTGAAAATTTTTCCCAATAAAGTTTTGTTCAAAAGCGACGAGGATGAATCAGAACTCTACAGCTCATCCTTCGGAAGTCTATCAAACCCAGCAGCAACTGGAAGGCCTGTCTTGCCAAAAGATTACATCCACTAAGCAACAGTCAAGTACCCTGGAAAAAGACGTCCAAAGGTATTGTTTTCAGTCTTCAATAAATCACTGATCCAAACTGTTCATATGCAAATATGTGCTTTATAAGCACATTAAAAGTACTACGGATGGCATAATACAAAGTCTTTTTCAACAGGCTCATAACCATGCTACACAGATGAAGAGAAATAAGCTCTATTCTCATATCAGGTTTACACTGTAATGCAAGCAATTGTCGGGAAACAAAACAAAGAGTCATTCATTTTCCTGCAACTCCTCTAGAAAGAGGCGGCACAGACTGAAACGCCGCGTGGTGCCTTGTTCCCCATGAACTACCAGACACTCAGGAATTCAAGTGCCAAGACGAGGAACAAGGAGCCCCTCAGTCCTGGCTTCATCGCCCAGGCCGTGACTGCTCCCTTCTTTAAAGAGCAGAAGCGCCGTGCAGGTAGCTCTGAGTAAGTGAATCCTGGGAACTCCTTACATTTAATCCTTGCTCCGAATTAATTCTGCAGCTTTGAGCAGGCAAGCCAGAGGAACACCAAAGCGGAAAGAATCTCAAGATCGCTATCCTTGTGCTACTGCAGACAGACACGTCAGAAACTTCGCAAGTATTGCCTTACAACTCGACCAGCCTACGACGGCATTTCCAGAGCTTCGCTTCTGTGACAGAGATCAGGAATTCTGTGAGTTCTTCCAAGTTAATTTCAGAAGACGTCTTAGACCTTAGATGCTTGTACAAGAAAAGCAAGAATAAGAATTTGGTTTTTAGGCATGGAAGTTTTACCAAAGCGGTGAAATGTTCTCGGTGGGTCCCGAGTGACGAAAAAGATTCTATAGAACTTTGCCCTTGCATCAGAGCCTTTCAAGCGAGGCCATTTAAGAAGTTAACGTTGGGTGTAGCGTAGGAAGCTTTAGAAAACCACATTAGAAAAACAAGTGAGGGCTCAAAAAAAGTTACAGTTTTGATACAAAAGTTACCCTATAAAAGTCTGATCTGCAATACAAAGGGCGTGAGACCAGAATATTTGTAATCGCATTCTCTGGAAATAATATGGCAGATAAGGTTATTAAAAAAAAAAAAAAAAAAAACACAGAAAGCTCCTGCCTGTAACGAAGACTAAAGAAATTAGACCACAGTGGTTTTTGCGATTAAACCACCCAGTCCAGTCAACCGGGTGGCAAAAGATGGAACAAGAGCAAAGCTGCGCGGTTCACAGCCGCGACAGAAGGCGCAGAGCGAGATGCGACAACTGCCCCTCTGCCGCGCGGTACAGGGCGTCAGCTTGAAGTTTAAGAACTAACATCACGCTGAGCAAGCAGCGGAAACAAATTAAGAGACTGTTCAAAGAAGTTGTGAAAATAAATGTAGCCTTTTATTAGTAGTATTATTTTGTCAGCATGAGGGTCTAGCAGGGGGTGGGAAATGGAACAGTTATGAGACCCAAGTCAGGAATTTGATAAAACAATCTTCATCTCAGCCCCAGGGAGGGTCCTCCACGTAGGTGCTGCATCTCCTGCCGCCTTAACGGAGCGCCCCGCGGCCAAAACGCGCTGCTTTTGCAGAGAACACCGTCGCTTCTCTTAGTGTCAATCAGCAACGCGAGAGTATCGAACACAAACTGTTTCCGCACTGGCTGGCAGGGCTACGCCGTGTTTATCTCTGCATTCTCCGACTTCCCAAAACACGCAGGACTTTGCATGTTTGGTAAAAATAGGCTTGCACGGGTAGGAATGAAAAGCCGTAACAAATACGATCAGTAAGGTCACTTCCACCCGAGGTTCATGGCACGCATAGCTGTGGGCTGTTCAGAGAGACCTGCGGCAGTGTTAGGAGTAACCCATCGCGCAATTAATGAGATTGCAGGGGGGGTATTTTTTTTAAAAACTCCACATATGCTCCAGCCAAAAGTTTCCGTTTTTTCCAAAGATACGGAACATAAGGTTTCACAACAAAAACTAGTTTTATGAAAGATCAGCACATAATTGCTGTATTTAAAAAGAAAGAAACCAGGAAGATACTACTAAGTAGAAAAAAAAAAGCCATCAGTAACTACGGAGTTAATATTTTCTTCATGTGGAATCATAGAATCATTAAGGTTGGAAAAGACCTTTAAAATCATCGAGTCCAACCGTTAACCCGGCACTGCCAAGTCCACCACTAAACCATGTCCCTAAGCACCACATCTACCTGTCTTTCAAAAACCCCCAGGGATGGGGACTTGATGTAAATTAGAACAGGACTAACAGGAGCCAAAGACGCAAGTGTACGTAGTTTCCCTAATCTAGCGAATAAACTGCAAGTTTGGACACAGGAGCAGGACACGGGAAGTTAAGGTCGATGTGCTGCCACACAGCGCGCAGCCTTGGCCCGGGACACGGGCGCTCCTCAGGAACAGAGCTCAGCCGGCGCTCGGTAACCTGCGGCTCTCACAACGCCGCACGTCCTTCCTACGTTCCGTTTTGAAATCCACAGGTAGAAAAAAAAACAAAGCAAAGGGTCCAATGTAACAACCAACCAATGTTAAAAAAAAAAAAAAAAATCAAACCCCTTTTGGGTTTAATTGGGTTTAATTGGTCTTATACTAATTCAATTAAACCAATTTAAAAAAAGGCTGAATTAATGAATGCCCATACAAAAATGGCATTGATTTGTTAAACCCTTTCTGCTATTGCCAGTATATAAAATAATTGGAATTTATTATTTGAAGAATATTCCATGGTTAGTTTATTCTTGCCCAGAACTGTGATATTCCTGGAGTAATTTGAAAAAGTAATCTGGACCGAGACCTTTGCTTGACAAAAGAGCCCACGGTCCAATACAGTATTGGAGCAATAATAATATGCCAAAACAGAATGAGATTTTTCACATTTGCTTACAATTCTGTAGCCAAATCAGCTGAATTGGTTTTAAGATATGCATGAACAAAATCTCCAACAGTTTCTTATCCAAATGAATCAGCATTTATTAGCATACGTCTGAGCTGCATATACTCACTAAATCAGATATTAATCTCTAATGGAGTCATAAAATTAATTGAGAATGTTCAAGGCAGCACATGCTGAACATTCACATAACACACAACAGAGAAATATTTCGTATGGGATTTCGGGGGATACAGCAAAGCTGATACCTAGCTTTACACAGTCTAGATGTTCACTAAACAGAGTTTTAAATATATTATTTGTCTTCCGTTTGCCTTTGTTTTTTTCTTTGTTCTAGTAGCATTACAGAAAAGTATAAA